CTGCTGAGGAGCATGAATGTCTTGTAAACTCTGGCCTTTTATATTTTTTATTTTTTGTCTGTTACAGCTATCTGTTATTTATTGTCCTCATTGTAGGTATGTTTTAAAGAAAAGCTCAGAGTTTATTAATACCTATTAAATGAACATTTGTATTGATTTTACCTGCACTGTTTGGTAGCAGCTGCAAATTTACAAACCGTTACCTGGATAAACTGACTACTGATATTGTGAATCTAAATGGTAACTTTCTCACATGAAGTCATAATAAAACTGAATAATGTGGTTTATTAACAGCTTTTAGTAACAGCACTCAGAACGTTCATTTGAAGTAAAACTATTAACTATTAATAGTGAATGTATTTATACCACACAGGTAAATTCCTGCATTCAAATGTTACTTCAAGTGAAGCGTGAAAGAGAGTTATTGTCAGCACAATGTATTTAAATGCACTTCACAGCTTTCAATGCTGATATGAAGTTGAATGGTTCAATGAAGAATAATTCGTCATATTCTGTATTATATTTGTGAGTAAAGTCAGGATGTGTAATATTTCTGTAATATGTTTTAATAGTGTTTTCCTCTGAAGTAGAGCCGTGCTCCAAGTCGTTTCAGTTAAGTTACACATTTTGAATTTATATGATGAATTGTGTTGTATTGAGTTTATTATGCGAGTTATGAACAAATATGTTGAGTTTTTCCTGCTGCTTTAGATTTTGATATTTTATGATTTTCATGAGAATTTGTTTACTGACAGTTTTCTGTATTTACTGTTCATTGTCTTTGTTCTAAATTAGTGAATTAGTGTCTTGGTTAGTGAGTTAAAATGATGACGATCAATAAAAGACTCTCCTCTCGTTTCACTTCCTGTCTTTGTGTGTTTCCTGCCTTTGCTATTTTTCTGCCCCGCCCCCTGATTGGATCCACCTGTGTCTAATCACCTAAACCTCCCCAGTGTATTTAACCCCTGTGTTCCCCTGGTTCTGTTTATAACAGTGTCTAAAGAAGGATTGGTTGTTAAGTTGTATGATGCAGGAGTCTGGGGGAAGGAAGTTTAATTGGATTAAAGATTTTCTGAGACGTCGTTCCATACATGGAAGAGTGGGAGGGAGTGTTTCTGATGTTATCAGTCCCATCTTGTTTTAATATAATGGTTAATGATATGTTTGAAGTAGGAGATGGCTTTGGTATATCTCTCTCTTTGCAGACGATGGAGCTGTATATGTATGAGAGGGCGCAATGTTGGATACCTAATGAAGCAGACAGCCTTGAAAAAGGTGCAGGTTGGTTGTTATTTTGCTGAGTCGTCGTATGCTTCAGTCCTGCAGTGTGAGTGTTGAGGGCGCCCTCTCCTGTACAAAATGTACTAAAGTAAGCAACGTCATCTTTACGTCATCGTTTTATTCATGTTTTCTCAAATGTTCTTTTTGAGTGAGAGGCAGCAATGTGTTGCAAGACATCCAAAATCACGCATCCGTTCGGCACTTTTAACATTAATGCCATTTGAATAACATGAAGTCAGATTTTCCCGGAAGTTACATTTCACACACAGTAGAATCAAACAAAGAAACAGCGGCCAGTCCTTAAAGTACAACATGTGCAGCAGTTTGTGTTGTTGAACGCAGCTTCAGTTCAAGCTTCTAGGAGCACTGGCATCTTGATTGGATGAACAAATGTGATTGATGGATGAGTGGACTGCAGCTGGTGTGATTGGTCCATCCCCTCCGTCTGATTGGTGCAAGTACCATCACACTATGTTCTCCATGTTGTAGATTGGACACGTTACCGCCATAGCACCCTGAAGAATGGCAGGGTTTCCGCGGACCAGGATTTAGGGGCCAACGTGGCCGCCAACGGGATTGGCGTGGGGATGGCGGAAGCAGCCGATTGGTCAGTTGATCAGTTTGGGGGAGGGGTTTCGCTCTCCAGAGCGTCTGAGATCATCAGGCAGAGCTGAGAGAACGACGGACGATCGCCAGGTGTCTGAAACGGAGAGAACACAGTCTGTGACTATTCCAAGCCATCTCTGAACGTCACCTCATAGAAGTGCAGCAAAAAATTTGCTCGAAGGAAGAAGTGCTCCTTCTCCAAAGACTGTTTTGGAGTTGGAATGTGTCTCGTTGTGTGGACGAAGGCCAAGCGATAAAAACGCTAGTGCTTGGGATCCGCTCATGCAACCGAACTTTGAGTAATGGTTATGTGCTTTCCTGGCTTTTAGCATCCAACAATTTCATTATTGCCATTGATGAATCGTCTATGGCCTCATAAACCAATCATAGCCCAGGATAACTGAGCGTGTTATGAGTGAAACATATACAGGTGTAATGTTCAGTTGCAGCGTCAACATGTGACCGAACAAGTGAAACTGAGTTCAGTGAGGAAATGAGTTCAGACGGTGAGAATATTGTTGATGAATAAGTACAGATCTCGCATTTTATCGTGATCATTTTTAATGACCTTCTCAAAAATGAACCTTTTTTTTTTAGCGGCTATAAAAGCCAGTTATAGCGACTGGAAGTCAAAAGGCAACACAACAAATGGAACAAATATATAAACTGTACGAATCGCTTAAAGGTGGAAAATGTTCAAAAACCCAAGAAAGAATCCTCCCTTTCAACCATACATATTCGTATTTGCATTCTGTCCAGAGCCATGGATATTAATAAGGTGACGGATAGTTTTATGCAGATACTAGTGAAGAAAGAACATCTGTTTTAAAGCTGCTATAATCAATATTTCTGTTATCAATGGATCAAATTACTGTCATCCCAATCAATCATGTTTCAGCCCAAATTAAGGTCAAATACAGATTAAAACTGGACTCTACAACGAGCTGAGAGAACCAATTAAAAATGTAGACTTAGAAACACGGAAACACATTGTCTCTCACGGTTCTCACCTCCAGCCAGCTGAGCTGCATGATGTCATAGATGGCGGTCGGGGCCATTTTGGGCCTGTACAGTCGGTGACCCCTGGTTACCAAAGTAACCACCTCGTGGTTCTGATTCTGCTCAAACGGCATGCGACCCTCAGTGAAAACCTCCCACATCAACACACCTGGGTACACAAATGATGGAGGTTTGATGTCGGGAGCTTTATTGAAGTGTTGGAGGTTGATAAATGTATGAATAGAGATGTTTAATGGTTTATTGATGTACCGTAGGACCAGACGTCTGACTTGCTGCTGTATTTGCAGAAGTTAAAGACTTCAGGAGGCGACCACTTCACTGGAAACTTGGCCCCCAATGAGCTGGTGTACTGGTCGTCTAACACGTATCTACAGAACACACATTTAAATGTGACGGGGAATTTGCCACAGTGCACAGTTTCAACCACGGTGTAGGTCCCGTGTTGGGCTGAAACATACCTGGTCATGCCAAAGTCGGACACCTTCACCACCAGAGAGTCGTTCACCAGACAGTTTCTGGAAGCCTGCAGAGATGTTTATTGTTAGCCATTTGATTCAGACATTCATGTTCCTCTGATGATATGAACCCAATGACTTTGGTTACATCCTGACGTTTCCTCTCGAATCATCACGAGGTCAACGTCTCAAATTCCTGCTAAACTAATGACTAATCCCGTAATCCTCAGCAGTACTTTGACTACTCCTACTTAGCCAAGTTTATTAGCTAACATTGTAGCTAGCTAATAAACTAACCCCCACAAGAATAGTGGGTAAAGTTGCTCTCACCATACATGTACACATTTGTGCCTTAAACTGATTGTTAAAAGAGAAGAAAAAGCACAAATCCGTCACTGATATTTATGTTAATTGTCCCCAGACTGGAGTATCAGAGTAACCTGCAGTTACCAGATCTCTGTGGAGGAAGCCGTTGGCCTCCAGGTGCTCCATGCCCTCGCTGACGTCCAGGCAGATACTCAGCAAAGACCCCAGACTGAAGCTGCCCCGCCGCTGCCTGAGGAAGTTCAGCAGGCAGCCGTGCTCCATGAACTCCGTCACGATGTAAATGGGCTTCTGCTGGCTGCAAACTCCGTACAGCTGCACCAGTTTAGGGTGGGATAGTCTCCTGGAGAAAACGCACACATTATGGACAAGGATGCAATGGACGAGTAGAAGAAGTTACTTTGCACGGCAGCTGGAGACAAATGAACAATAACGGCTTCTGAAGAGGTCAGTTATATCGGAACTGGAGAGAATTTCTTCATTGAAAGAAAAGCAAAGAACAGTGAAGGCTTTTCTAGATGGAAAAGATGTTTTCTCTTCTCTCTCGAACATCTTTGGTAACACACATGACCTGTGCTTTATGTAACTTCTCATTGAAACCTGAAGCATATTGTTTAACCTTTTAGTCTATTGTCTTTAGTCTTTGATTTAGTTTTTATTTTCAGAAATAGGTGAACTCGTCTAATGAGCGAAACTACATTTTCTCTGGAAGACTTCCACTGATGATCAAATGGTAAGTATGTTTATATAAACTAAGCTTAATCTAAATGTGTAAAACTTTCCTTTCTTTTGTCAGTCTCCTCCTTTTATGATCTTTACCTTAACACCATAAACTTTATCTTTTCAGTGCCCTCTCTCCTCTCCTCTCCTCCCTCCTTCCCTCCTCTCCTCCTCTCCTCCCTCCTTACATCATGATTTTAGCCTCCTCGATGAAGTCCTCCTCGTACATGGCTCCCTCTCTGATGGCCTTGATGGCGACTCGGTGCTGAGCCCTCCACTTCCCGAGCCTCACCACGCCAAACTGACCGCTGCCCAGGTCCTTCATGAACGTCAACTCACTGCGGTTGATCTCCCACTTCTCTGGAGGGAGGGAATGAGAGAGAGAGAGAAGAGGACGTAAAGACAAAGGGGTGAGTTCATGGATGAACAAATGTTTAAAAACCGAGGCGGTGGTCTGTCAGGACTCACCGTAGCTGAAGCCGGCGGTGGACGGAGCAGACTTGTCCTGTTTCCCTACAGGATACCTCAACCTGGCAACAAGACCTGCGATATAGACGATGATTAAGTATACGGCCGACAGGAAACAAAGTGTGACCATGACCGGACATTCATGTTCCCCTGAGGATGAATTGTAATGACCAGGTCAACTTTTTGATTTGGTTTATGACCAAATACTTACAGAACTAATGACACTCGCCTCAGCTCAAGCTTCTACTTGGTTTTTGAGCGATGCTAGCATGGCAGTACATCCTCTTGTTAATCTCTAGATAGCTACAGAAGTAGTTCTTGATAAACATGGCCGGTCTGGATAGACGGTGACGTGTTGTTTACCTGCTGCGTTGTGTTTGTGGTACTCGATCAGTTCGGGGATGGAGCTGAACAGGTGTTTCTCCGCCAGGTAGAAGTGTAGAGGCGAGCCTTGTGACTCCTTGATGTGGTAATGTTTTATAGCTGCTCCTCCCTCCCTGCAAACGCACAACAATAATTTAATATATAATAATAATTTATCAATGTAACGTACAGGCTTTTATGACTAAGAACTCTGTGAGTAAAAGGAGTAAAAGCCCTCTGCTGCACAGGAAGTGATGCTAATACTGCAACACCCATTCCATTTAAATTCCCTCCACTATCAAGTAAAACGTATCTTGAATTGTAGCAGAGTTTTAAGTTGGTTAGAAAGATGGAAAATCAGGTTTTCTTAGTTTGTGCATCTTCGATTTTTTCCTCGCGCCGGAGATGCGAGCGAAGGAGGCGAGGAAGAGACGCGAGGAGACGAGGAGGCACAAAATAGAGAAGAGCGGACCGTGTCCTCACCCTGGAGCAGACTTGGCGTAGAGGGACACGGTGTAGGTTCCTGGAGTGCTGGAGTCTCTGACTATGAAGGCTCCTTCTGTGTCCTGCAGGGGGCGACAGAGACCAACAGACTGAGCATGAATGTGTTTAGTCATGTGATTAAGAGAAAGTTTGTGTGTAAACAGATGTGGTTTATCTTTTCTACAGATCACAAAGTTATTCTTTCACAGAAATTAAGAACCCACAATGTATTTTGTGATTTTAACATAAATATACATGTACTTGTAAGCTTGCTGCGAGTATTTAAATCTTTATTCGAGCGTTAAATACAAAAGAAAGGGAGACGGACGCAACAAATGTCCTCGACTCGAACCTTCAACCTCGAGGCCACCGGAGCATTCAAAGCTTTTCTGTAACTTTGGTTTTAGATGGTTTTGCACCATGAAAGGACCCAAATAAAATGTTTTTTTTCCAGTGACAAGTAAGAGGGGTTCGATCGCTCACCTCTTTCCTCAGCAGCTCCTCGGCTTTGTTCCTGTTGACTTGTTTGCTGAACCAGCTAGAACAAACAACCATCACATCTTAATGAATATCATCTTGTTTTGTTGTGCAGTTATAGCTAAATACATAAAAAATAACATAATGCATGTCTTTCAATGAAAATACTGCAAAATAATACCAAGTGTTTAAGTTATTGGTAGTTTGACGTGCCTTATGTCTGTGTAACTTATTGGTAGTTTGACGTGCCTTATGTCTGTGTAACTTATTGGTAGTTTGACGTGCCTTATGTCTGCAGACACCAACCAATGATCCACTGTTACGTTAACAAACTCACACAAACTGCACCAGGTTTGCAGACGTCTTCTCTGTTACGTAGTTACTTGGGATGTAGCCTTCCTCGCTGGGAAACACAAACACAAGGGAACAGATGCTCATCATTCGATCCCAATGTTGAGATATTTCAGACCATCTAACGTCTACAAAAACACTTATTGTAACATTTATTGCAATCAAGTTAAAGGTTTGATACGTAACTTTTCTGCATTAAATGTCTAAAAACAACTCGACCTATATAAAATGTTTTGTGTACTTAAATTATGCCAAACAAATTTATAACGATCTTTAAATTATATCAAGGTAACGGTGCGTTTCAGGTCTCTGGTAGAGACCTGTCGATCACCGTGTAGCCCCGCCCTAAAGCATCCCCTGCTTTATGGTCTGTGTGACTCTAAATGGACCATAATGTACTAAATGAACATCATGCTGTATTGAAGAAGACTTGAAACTAGAGATTGAGACCATAAACTCATGTTTACAATGTTTACTGAGGTAATGAATCAAGAGAGAAGTAGAGTCATTTTCTCATAGACTTCTATACAACCAGAGGAGTCGCCCCCTGGTGGACACTAGAGAGAATGCAGGTCCTCACCTGAACTGGTTTCGCGCCTTGTACCAGTTGACGTCACACTTGTCCAGTATGACGTACTCTCCTCCTTTGACCAGACTCAGGTCGTGCGGCTCGGTACCCGGGAAGTCGTACAGCGCCACCATCACCTCCTCCTCTTCCTCCTTGTCGTCGTCGTCATCGTCACTCTCCGGAGGGAGAGGAGGAGGGGGTCGCCGCTGCTGGAGGAGGAAGAACGATGAGGTGTGTGTGTGTGTGTGTGTGTGTGTGTGTGTGGGGTCATCAGTTACCTTCTTGTTTTTGCTTCGCTCCTCTCTAGGAATCGGAGGTAAAGGTTTCCTGGAAACTAGGAAAGAGGAACAGAAACATTAAACCAAGCAGAAAGTTTCAACTGTTTCTGTTTCTAACCACGATTATTTCATTTTTTTAAACATCGTTGTTTTAGTAGATGTACTAAAACTTTATATTACTGCTGACTAGAGGTGGAAGTACCCAAATACCTCAAGTACCGCACTGTACAGGTTTGATGTACTTTACTGTGAACCACACTTATCCGATTGCTGATCAAACTACAAATAGTTTACATTCAAAGATGAGTTTATTTAGCTGCTGTGAGTTTAACTGTCAAAGTGTTTTAACAAGTTAGACTCCAGGACATTAAAGGTTCTTTAAAGGTTATTTGAGCCCCAAAATGCAATTTTACTGCAGCGAAATTACTCAAACTACTTTGAAATAACTATCAAAAGTACTTGAAGTGCTTATGACTCTTACATTGGCTCATCCATAGTGTCTATGTGGAGCTGGAGAAGCAAAACTATGAGCTAAAAAAGAGTTGATCTCGGATTAAACATTAAAAATATAAACGTCTAATACTAGTACAACAGCTGAGTTTCTTACTGTCTCCAAACAGGTTGTACTCCTCGCAGCCCGGGGCCTGTTTTTCCACCTGGCGACAGCAGAGCCACGCCCCTTCCTGCCAGAACTGAGGGTGAAACTTGGCCGACACCACAGCGTTGTCTTTGATCTCTACAGAGAGAAGGTTTCTGTGATTAACGTCATGTGTGAACTGGAACAATCATTCATCAGGTTTCCTTCTTCACATCCAGCAACACACAAATAATACTTAAATGTGAAGAGTTTTCTATTTTCAAAGAAGTCTGTGAAAAATGAAAAATGCCATTTTAACACTTTTTGGATCACATCCCCAGTCATATTGTGCATCATATAAAACAATTATGCAAAAATATTGACAAAAAGTATTTGTAATTTTATATCAAAATCCAGTCATCTTTTCTGCCTTTAAAACAATGTGTGTTTACATAAGCAAGGACTAACCAGTTTCAACCAATAATATGACATTAATACGTCCATCAATCAAAAGCTTCATGTGTTAAAGCTGCATTCTCTCTAGTGTCCACCAGGGGGCGGCGACTCTGGTTGTATAGAAGTCTATGAGAAAATGACTCTACTTCTCTCTTGATTTATTACCTCAGTAAACATTGTAAACATGAGTTTATGGTCTCAATCTCTAGTTTCAAGTCTTCTTCAATACAGCATGATGTTCATTTAGTACATTATGGTCCATTTAGAGTCACACAGACCATAAAGCAGGGGAGGCTACACAGTGAATGACAGGTCTCTACATTACATTAGTCATTTAGCAGACACTTTTATCCAAAGCGACTTACAATTCAGAGTCTATCACATTTCTACACCGTAGGCACAGCTACGGGAGCAATTTTGGGGTTAAGTGTCTTGCTCAAGGACACATCGACATGCGACTAGCGGAGCCGGAGTTCGAACCACCGACCCTCTGATTGAAAGACGGCCCTGCTATCCACTTAGCCACAATCGCCTCCATATACGGCGTCTCATCGTCACTCCTCAGTCCAGATATGGACGTGTCCTTTTCTAAGGTGACAAGACTAGATTTAATAAATGATCTATAGGCTCCTGAAGCTGAGTGGACTTTAAAGCAGCACCTGACCTCGTTTCACCTGTCTGACCACCACGTCTCCGGTAAACAGTCGGAGCAGGAAACAGTGGGGGCTGCTGGAAACTTTGCCCTCTGTGTGAAAAGCCAGTTTCAGACGTGTGGTTTAAAAGTGTGAAAAAGAGCTCTGCAGCAGCTAGTACTACAACGCGTGAGAAGTGCTCTACATGCACACCTCGATACGCTGCTCTGCTGTTTGGCTTCGGTAGAATAGAAGAGAGACTGACCCCCTTTGAGGCTCTGGACCCAGAGACTTCTGCTGTCGTGGCTCGGGGCGAACACGTAGAGGGTGTTGGTGTCGTACACCACCTGCACACAGACGAGGCCGGTTAGGCAAGACTGAAGTGAATGTGTACGACATAACAATACATTTCCCATCATTTTCTTCCTGCCTAAAGTGGGGAAAGATCTTATTTATTAATTTTTTTCTCAATGTCCGTCTATATTATGTTGAGCTTGAAGGTTCATTCTTCAATCAGGCCTGAAATCCCACAATGTCCACTTACTCCAGAGCTTTCAGCCACATGGAGAGGACTCTGTCTGCTGACGAAGGCCATGAGATATATTTCAGGTGATTTTACACCAATTAAAACATAGATATGAATATTACATTCCATTAATTGTAATAGATGGAAATGCTACATGCTGGCCCTTTAAGTTGAATTAAGATGCATTATTGACAGACTTTAAAAACCTCTAATCCACATTATCTAGACCACTTATTACACCCGAGGAGTAGGTTGAATTTGAAGCAGGAAGTAGGTGTAAACCTTGATGGATGTTGCGTAATGATGTAACTGTTAATCTTTCGTTTTCTGTTCCACATCGTCTAACCTGGAGGTTTGTTTCCAACCAATGAATGCTTGAGTTTCTGGACCCACCAAGTTGTAATAAACCAGAAGTATGCTTTACAGTAACACACAGAGCAGGTTGATCATGATTAACTCGTGTGTTTGTACCTGAAAGGGGTATTTGTTCTGGCAGGGGATGATTTCTCCTCCGTTCTTGACGATCTCGGCACATCTGATGCGGCTCAGCTCGATCGAACCTCTCCTGAACTTCCTCTGTTGATGGAAAACAGCAGCTTTTCACTATTTCATGAAGATATAAAGTATAAACTACACGCTAAAACAATTAGCTATCTATATGGTAAATATGAAGCGACAGTCTGTTCGCTTAGCGTAGTGTATAGAATGCAAATCTTTCATAAATGACTAATCCTGAAGAGAAATTAAAGTGACCTCTCGTCTTCCATCGTAGTACGTCAGCTGGCTCTGTGTGAGGACGAACAGTCTCTCCTTGTAGTTCAGCGGCGACGTCCTCTTCTTCTGCTGCGAACGCTTGATGAGCATCTCCTCCAATAGCAGCCTGGCACTCATCCTTGTCCCGCCCACGCCCTCAGCCCATTGGTGGATGTCGTCAGAACGCGGCGGGCCGGAGCTGAGCTGAAGACAGAAACACAGGACTAGTTTTGCGTTGCTTTGTGGTCATTTTATGTCTCTTAGTCGTTGATTTGCATCTCTTTGTAATTATTTTGTGGTTGTTTTGTGTCTCTTTGCGGTTGTTTTGTGTGTCTCTTTGCGGTTGTTTTGT